ACCTTCGCCATGCCACTGTGTGGCTGATATTTACTAGATACTAAATAGTAGTAACCTGGTTAATCTTCATCAATCAATAAAGACTATTACGGTGACAACACGATTGACACATTCGATTAGGGTCTCAGTAATCAATCTTCAGAATTTTTTTTTCTCATAAAAACGAGTTTTTAATTTGAACCATCGAGGGAATCCAACCAATACAATCTTAAAATTTATTCATTATCATTTGACTTTTAAGACTGTTTTATTTATATCTATAGTATGATACGAGCGAGTTAGAATAAATGATCATCATTCTTCACGAAAACAACATCTTACCCTTATTTTGTTGAAATATAAAATCGAAAAATTATCTGATGCTACATGAAATATCGGAACATTTTTCTCATTGTCTCTATTTTGCATTGCATAAATTTAGATCTTGTTTAGTGTGATAGATAAAAAAAAAATTATGAATCACAACATAATGGTAAACAACGATGGATTTCAATAGAATATATTCTTAGTTTATAGCACTCATAATATTTTTAATTTTTAATTTTATACTTATAAATTCGTTGCATCACATATTTTTACTTTTTTATTTAGTTATGTTTACATTTTAGTTTTGGGGGTTAAGAGCTTTTAACGTTTATTTAAAATTTGATTTTTTCATGGAAGTTATAAGTAATATAATTTTAGTTAAATTTTATCTATTAGGTACATATAATACCCAAAGTCCTGAACCACAATAGAGTTTCTTAACAGTCTGAATCCCGTAGACAAAAAGAATAGAATATCATTACTCATTAACATAGGTAAAAGGCAATGCTTGATTTGGAGACCCTACTTGAAATTTAATTAACAAAATATCACGTTCATATCTGATACCCCATGTGTTCCTCTTTATTATGATGTACAGAATTTCTGTAGGTATTCACCATATTATTGTATTGTTTACTCTAATTAATTGTAATTACTAACTTTAATAATATGTAGAACAGTCAACGCCAATGGCCAAAAATTAATTTTCAACATTGCATACAATTATAACTTAAAAATAACAAATGTTCGACAATTTGGAATTGATATGTTATGAAAATTACAATAGTTAAAATTATTTAACTTTTTAAGAATATATATTTATAGAATAAGAACAGATATTTAATTTATATTTCATATGCAACGTACATTGCAGTTCGTTCTTATACACGTTTTAAATTGTTTTGAATGAATTTGTGACTTATTATTTATATACTATAGTTTTATATTTAAAATAAGAATATGTATGGTTTTTCATTGGACGATATCTTTTACTTTAACTCCTTTCTGTCTTCAGTAGCAAGTCATTTAGTTTATTTAGGAGATTTTTTATAGTTTAATTTACTTTTTTAAAACTCCTTTTAGTACTACAATTTAAAGTTTCAAAAAGTAAAATAAAACGATATTTTACCCTCATTACTTATGTTTATCTTTAGGTTTGTATAAAATAACTGGTACCTACCTAATACAACTAATACAACTATATATAGTTTTTTTTTATTTCGTTTAACATATTTATAAATAATGTTACCTTATTTGAGATGGGACACTATATACTTACCATCGATATCCCATACGATTGGATGGGAATTATCAAAATTACAGTATAACTACTATATTCCAAAATAAATACAACAACGTATAGTAAACGATGCAATTTTCAAATATCGATAACGATTGACTTACCAACTATTTTTTTTTTTTATATAGTTGCAACTATTTTACGTGGTAATTCACTTTTATTATTGTGAATTTCACTGGAAAATAAACTTTCACTCTATCAACACTCGAATTGTCAAAACAAGTGGTCTCTAAAATAATATTTAGTATTGAGCTCGTTATTTAGGTTTAGGTACGAACTGATTGCTACACCAACAACGAATACCATACATCTATTCAGCGGCCATCACATTCAAGCTAGCCGATGACGCACGACCATATCTCCATAAGATAGCCGTTTTCACGAGTATGGACTTAAAACATCGACCCTAACCGTCAACGATGAACTAATGTGGARGATTAACTACAGCAGCCAACACGAGGGATTTCGTCTGAACGAACCATCGACGTTTAACGATTCGCCATAAAAAGAGCCGTTTTCACGGCTAAGGACCTTATAATACCTTTCCTATCCCATCATCAACGTCGATAACGCCTGCCACGAGGCTATACTAAGACTAACCGACGCCACTAACCACGTGAATTTACGACAAACCACCAGGATTCAAACTCCAATGGAGAAATACAAAGATTCTCCATCCTTCGCGGTGTGCCCTCTGCCCTCTAACGTTCGTCTACCGCATAATTGTGCGGTTTCCCGTCCAAACATATTGACTCTGTGCATAGTTGTTTGACGGTTCGCTGGAAAACATGGGAAACCTCTGGGTAAGACTTTTATTATGTACGTTGGCGCCACCGTTTCATTCTTGCCAGATTGTTTGCAAATAATAAACTGCAATTGCTTGTATAAAATATATATTGCACTTATATTTTCTTACAAATAATAAAAAAACAACGTAGGTACATATAATGAGTAATGAGTAATGACTAATAAGTGATTAGGTATATTTTTAATAGGCTTTATTTAACTTTGCTTGAAAAGTCAATAATTAAATTTTCACGTTTGGAATTCAATATAAAGATGCATCGCATTACATATAATAATAGTTTAAAGAATACAAGCACAATTCGTTGTTAACTCATATTAATAACTCTCTTAAATTGTTCGTACATATATTTTAGAAAATGTAAAATATATAGGAATTGCAATAAATACTAAAAATAATAATCAGTGAACAAATGTACTGCCATTTATACCAGTATATTTTTTATAGCAAATATGTTCAAGTAAATTAAATACAATTTTTCAGAAGTGAAATTAGAATTAAATTTACTAAAAATATTCTTACATTTTTCATATAAATTTCCTTTAATTCAAATTTTTAGCTTATATTTTTTTTCATAGTTTTTCTTACCAATAGTTATTAATCATCATGATCATAATAATTTAAATGATAAAAATCTAATAGTTTTATCTTTTATAACTGCACACATTTACTATGTATTGTCTACTTGGTAAAAATAGCACTTAATTATCGTCAAACTTTTACAAACCAAATAGTAAATATTTATAAATTATTATTATCTAATAACGTATAATTAATTGTTATGCGCATAAACTCGCTCTTTAACTATTATGAATTTTTCAAATTTACTATGCATTTAAATTCACATTCATTTGTAAACTTCCTATGTTTACTCTATATGATGGTATACATTGAGTAAAACTAACATTTATTCAATATTCAGATGATAAAAGCTTCTAGAATTACTAATGCACGCATACATATATCATAATATAAAATGTTTATGAATTTATAATACGTCTATTTTAAGCTATTATATGATATTAATATATATATACAGGGTGATTTTTTTTATCATGAACCATTCATTATTTCAAAAAGTATCAATGTTTTTGAAAATATTTTTTTACAAAGTTTCATGTTGTTAAAAAAACAACGTTTTTATTAAAAAATTATGATTTTTAATATTTTTTATCCTTATAATTTTTTAAATTTTTTACTTTTTTGAATGACAACCTAGAGTTTTAATTTCATATTCYAAWGCARWATATYTTTCTAAGTATTTTGATACGTAAAAATCGAATTTTGGACGAGTAGTTTATGAGTTATAAGTATTTTAAGTTTTGACAAGCGGAGTAGTGGACAAACATTTTGCGGGGTAATCCCGCCAATATTCCGCCAATCTAAACTTTAAATACTTATAACTCATAGACTACTACTACTTGTTTTTTTAACAACATGAAACTTTGTAAAAAAATATTTTCAAAAACATTGATACTTTTCGAAATAATGAGTGGTTCATGATAAAAAAATCACCCTGTATATTTATTAATAAATTCATTATGATAACAATATACACGTTCCCCTGAAAATGTCTATCGCAATGGATGAATATTGAATATAATGCAATAATATTGTGCATTTTAAAGAGCGAACAATTTAATAGTTCTAAGACTCTACAGTCAACACAATTTCCAGAGCTTAATGCAATTGTTTTCAAAGAAAACATTTTAGTCGTTAAATTTTAAAGTTTTTGATGCATATTATTTAAGTTTTCTTTTTCAAAGATACATGAAACGTATTATTAAACATCGTCACAATTGCTTAAACTATATGATAGGGAAATAAATTGATAAAAAAAAATGTGAAACATAAAGTACACATCGTTGTGTTGATAACTCGGATGATCGTGATAACAGTTCAATGCCTACTAAAAAGTTCACCTATTCCCAGTAGGTAATTTTATTTTTTTTTCACATTTACAATATTATACACGTACACAGTTAAATGCGTAGGTACGTACCTACTCAAAAAGTGTAAATATTTAGGTTTATACACCGAACTAACACTTGCCAAAATTTTATGTTTGTTTCTGCTGAAAAATGAACAAAAGTTTATTACTTATGTCAGAAACCAATATATTATACAATAGTTTAACAGGCGCGCGCGCATGTGTGTGTGTGTGTGTGTGTGTGTGTGTGTGTGTGTGTGTGTGTGTGTGTGTGATGTAACCTGCTATAGATCAATGTGATAATCTAACATGGCCACGTAAGTAGTCGTAGGAAGTCCGTCGTCATTTAAAAATAAAAATATTAAAAACCGAATAAAGGATTCATATTTAAGCATTTAAAATTTTCTTTTTAAACATTTTAAATACATTGAGTATTCATATTTTTTTTGTGCCAAAAATTAGCCAGCCCCCTCAAAACCGGTGTTTAGTACTAAATTATTTGGATAAGAAAATTCGAGATGTTGAAATCTTTTCAAATTATTGTCGAGTTGAAAAGATTATTTTAAAATCAAGTGTTATCGTTATTTGGAAGGGAATTTATTTATTCGACATATTATTGATACGATACATTTCGAGTTATCGAGGTTCAATTTACCAACCTGACAAGAAACGCGGACTCTTGAACCAGTGCCCGTCGAACCATTGAGTCTCTACCAGTGATGCGGAACAGAGGTCGGCGAACGACGGCCCCGCGCGACGGCTGTCCGCCGCCTTGGCGTTGTACGACAGCCCGTGCAAGGCGCCTAGTTTGCGGAGCGCCAGCAGTACGTGTTCGACGTCCAGGAACACCCGTTGGTCGGCCGCGCGATAACCGGCGGGCGCCAGGCTGGCCAGGACGATCACCTGTTGCTGTGCGCCGTCCGTGCCGCCGTCCGACGTCGCGTTCGAGTACAGGAACCGCGGGAACAGCGCGAACGCGGCGGCAGGATCGGCGGCGTTCGCGGCCAGCTCGGGTAGCAAGCGGGCGTAGAACACACACTCGTTGTAGAACTTCTGGTGCATGTTCATCATGGCCGACATGCGGGCATCCGCGTTCTTGAACTTGACCACGACCGGCACGTGACTCGCCGGCCACTCGGACCCGTTCAGCGCGACCGCACCGAAAACGATGTCGGACGCGAACTGTTCGCCGGTCGCGGCCGCCGTGCCATCACGGTCGTCCGGGCGGAACGACGCGCGCTCGGCGCCCGGCCCGAACGACCCGTCGGCCACGGCTTGCGGGAACACGATCGTGTTCAGGTATTCCATGCGGGACGACCACAACGCGTCATCGCCGTCGGAGCCGCAACGATCTCCCATCGTCGCGCCAAGCCGGGGAAACCGACGGGACAGGCGGTCTCCGCAGCGCTATAGACGACGTATTGATCGCCGTGCCGATGGGCCGGTCAAGCGAGACGATTTACCGCGCGCCGTTTTATCGTACCGAATGTAATGTAATTACGCTGCGCTGCCGACGATGACACCTGCACGCGCGCACGTGTACCGACCGATGTGACGGTTACCAGGTGACGCACTGTWGGCGGCCAAGCAGTAACGCGTAGGCATAACGTTGTTTCGGGTATGTAGGTATTAAAAAACCGGTAAGCGGTTGTGTAACAGGTTTTTTTTTTTTATTCACCTCCTGGTTTTCTTCAAGCGTTGTGCAGCTCCGCGAACGTATATTATCACGCGCTTATCCGAAAAACGTGTAATAATCTCGTCTTTCTCCTCCGAGTATAGATATCGTCCGTACCGCCCGATGATTCCAAAACCGATTCGAAATTGTCATCGAGTCCAATCCAAATTATATCTTGATACTATATACCAGCAGTTATCGCAGAGGTATTCAAACTGTGCTTCGCGACTAACCCAGTGGCGTCGCGAGAGCTTGCAAAGGGAGCCACGTCAAAGCACCGAAAACCAACATCATACCTAGGTCTTGTATAATTATTATAAATATCATTTGCAATCATTATGAAAACGAAAAAGACATACTTTACGATTCGACCATTAATTGATGTCTATTATTTCTAGTCACTGTTATTATCACCGATATACCATATTTCCCATATTGTATCCGTGTGTTGATTCAATTTTTTCATAATAATTTGGGAGCCGTAAAAATATTGTGACCACCCAAAGGAGCCACGTGCTGAAAAAGTTTGAATACCTCTGAGTTATCGTTAAACGCGGTTGTATTTAAAACAATATATATACATATAAATTATTATCTGTGTCTGCGTGGTCCGATCGGTGTTTCCGATTATTTAAAAATTTTATTTTGACTGAGCCGCATCAAAATTATACATATTATATATTATGCTTGCACACCGATAGAATATACCCATACACAGTTAATGCTTGTTTTGGAAAATTTTATGGTAATATACATGGTTGAATTTCAATAAGTTGATATTTTTTTTCAAATGTTTTTTTAGTTACGTTTGAGGTTAATATATAACTCGAATACTATGAAAGTTGCATTAATTTATAATATTCTCTTTGAATATCAAGCTATTGAGATTCAACTGTACTAACACTAACTCATCGAATATTGCACGGCAATCATAC